AATTCCTCTTTGGAATTATATTTGTCCAATGGTGCAGCTTCTGCGATCAATGCACTTCCCGGGTAGTCCTTGTTGTCCTTTTTTCCTCATCATAATTAATTCCACTATATTTATGGATCTCTGTCCTTAACAGCCCATCACGTTTGGAAACATAAAATAATTTGCTGTTGTTTTTAGTAGTTCTTCCTGGTGAACAATTATTTCAAGAAACTGTTCCACTGTGGCTGTTTTCTCGCACCTGTAACATCTCACAACTGGAATTTCTGCAGGAAACCATTTGTGTTTCAAACTTATGACCAGTAATCAAGAATGCAGCGCTAAGGGCTTTGATATCTCTTTTTGAGGTGATAAGAACATTTCTATCCTTTTTGCTAAGATATACCTTCCTGTTTTGCCATGATTTGTGGTTTCGTGGGAAAGGTTTGACCGACATTTTCATCGATCTGTGTAAGATGTTGCAACTGAATTAAAGTCATGTACAACTGTGCTTTCATTTAGGAACAGATTAGATAAGGTACCGGTAGGTCTGACGTAGGGAAAACATCTTGCATGTTACATGCCCTAGATAACCTGAGAATACTTTTCTGATCTTATCTATGATTTAATTATCACCTATCATTCTTCGTATATGTTCCTCTTTAATATTCATATTACCCTAGCACCCAGAGATCTCAACTAGGATTAGATCCCAGTTGCAGTAGGTGCTGCATAAGCATATGTGGTGATTACTGCCTTGATTTAGATTTCACCACAAAAAAAGTTTCAAGGACAAATTTTCCCGCAATCTTAATTTAAAAATTAAAATTGCTAGGAAAATATTCCTTCCTCAGCATGTATTACTAATTCCTGTTGAGATTAATATTTCATACATACAGATATAGATGTATATATCCATACTGTTTACAATTTTAACATTTATATAGACGTGGAAGAGAAAGAGCTTAAAGTAGGTAGTGCATAAGTATTTTTTTTTAGTTAAAATAACCCAAAATTTTCTTATGGATTTATTCTATATGAAGTCACACAATGGATAACAGTGATAATGAAGTTAAACACAAATAAAGAACACACTTTCTGTGTATTACTCTCTTGTTCTAGTTTGACCTATAAAGAACCTTAACCTCTGAACAGCACAACCTCTCACAGTCTTGCAACCTAGTCACCCCTTCAGGTTTTCTGCCATTAGTACTGTTCATTTTGCCCAGTGGAAACATGAATGAATATATGAAAAATATATAAAATTTGTAGAAGTGAATTTATTGCAGGAAGAGGGTGCAAATTCTCCTTTTGTGCTTTTTGGTGTGTATACATAAAGCCACAGAGTCATTTGGTCAGAAAAGACCTCCAAGATCATCAAGTCCGACTACTGTCCCAGCACTGCCAAGGCCTCCACTAACCCATGTCCCCAAGTGCCACATCTACACAGCTTTTAAATCCCTGCAGGAATGGGGTCTCCACTGCTGCCCTGGGGAGCTGTGCCAATGCTTAGCAATCCCTTTAATGAAGAAATCGTTACTAATACCCAACCTAAACTTCCTGCAACTGCTTGAGACCATTTCCTTTTGTTCTGTCACTTGTTAACTGGGAGAAGAGACAGACCTCCACCTTTCTACAACCTCCTTTCAGGTAGTTATAGAGAGAGAATAAGGTCCCTCCTGAGCCTCCTTTTCTCCAGGCTAAACACCCCCATCTCCCTTAGCTGCTCCTCCTCATCAGAATTGTGCTCCAGACCCTTCCCTAGTTCTGTTGCCCTTCTCTGGACACACTATGATGCGTTAAGACATGATATGACCACACTAGATTAGTTTTATTTATGTTGGGGTTGCCCTGCCTTTACTACAACCTCTCAAATGCAGGTTCTCAACTAGTTTATCTTTTGATTCTGCTTTTGTATTTTTTTAATGGACTTAAGGGTAACTGAGACACTGAGGTAAGGACAAACGCAGTGGAAGGAAGGGCTCACTGTTCCTCTGTTGCAGAGTATTTACAAGGAAATGTCATACATTAAAACTTTATTGTGCTCTCTTGAAGGAATTGACTCTGCTTTCTGCTGATTAACACAGATACCAACTTGGTAACCACCTTCCTTACAGAAACAGCTGCTTAAAGAGGCTGCACTTCTTTATGAGGTGTATTTGTAAAAGAAATGAAATATAAAAGAGCAGTATTAATTTACAAAGAAGTTATTTATTGAGAGAATGGGAAGGCTAGAAAGCTTTGTTTTAGGGCTTACTGTACCAAAATCATCAACACTGGTACACAGGAGATATTTAGGTAGGCACTAAGGCACAGAAATGGTAGAAATTTTGCATAAAATTACGCTGTGAATCGGTTTATTTGTTAATTGTTAGTCTATTGTGAAAGAAGAAAAAACAGGCAACATGTGGTAACTTTAGTCAGCATTTCTGAACTGGGAATGATAAACACCTCTGCCTGGCTCTGGCATTTATCAGTACTGAGATATTATTACCACATAGAGTCACAGCATGGTTACTGTTATCATCAAAAAAAAAGAGCCAGCTAATCTTAATGGTTTGTAAAGCCGTTACCTGCACTGGTCTGACATTTATCATGATCATTTTACCACATGAGTCCTACATTGCAAAGGTATTTTATCTGGAAGGGACATCACTATGAATTATTATTTGCAGCTAGGTAGAAAATTGTATGTTGTAGATACCTTTTCTCATTATAAATCACAGTCACATTTCACCATTTCCCACACAAAGCTGCTGAGCCCAGGCTTTTTGCCATAACACTTAGTCTCGCTCCCTTTTATAGTTCCATGAAAATATTGGGTACTCTTTCATTAAAATGGTTGATATTGGTGGGTTTTTTTTAAATGCTCTATACACGCTTGATTTTTCTCTAGTATAAAAGAATTTGTTTTTCCACTTGAGAAGCTGAAGAGGATAAACTGTTCATTTTTTTTATTAAAGCATACTCTCGCTTCAGTTTTTGTGGCTGGGCTTGTCTTTACTCTTGACCTTGTTGATGGAATATTTAACAGATCAGATGCAAGATCTTATGTTTCATTTGCAATACCTATGTATTTGCTTTATTTCTGTAAAGCCTTCAGTTCCACTTTCCTAGGAATTTTCTGCCTTCAGATTCCTAAGTGGAAAGATTTTTAAAAATTTTTTTTTTGAGGTTTTTTCCCTTTACCATGCACAAATGAAGGGAAGAAATCTTTAAATGTGGGTTTTACAAATAGGTGGGAAAAAGTTATCCCCTTCCTTGTGCTGTATCATGAAGCCCAGCAATGCAGTGTGAAAAGGAAGGAAAACACTCTGAACAGCTGTTAAATTCTCCAGATAAGTCTAGCAAATGAAGCAGAGAAGTTGTGATAAAAAGAAACAGTATTGGTTTTAATTATATTCTTTTTATTGTGAAAATTGGTGAAAATCTGAGGAAAAAAAATCCCATTTTGGAAAGTTAGACTCTCTTTTCCCTGTGAAGATTTTGGAAGGAAAAGTCATCATAATCACATATATCAAATAAAGAATGAGAGGAGGGTTAATCCTTTTTGCATTTTTTGGGGAAATTATGGGAGACTTAGGGGATAATTTCAGCAGATCAGGATACTCTGAAGTGAATCGCAGATGGTTTTTCCGTGTAAAAGAATCATAGAAAATATATTTAGAATTTGGGTTACTGTCTTTATAAATAGGGCTGGCTCCCTTTAACAGAGCAAAACCGTGGAGATGCTCTCTTGTTTATATTTAAATGAAGAATGCATTGAAAAAAAAATAACCCTTCTTACTATTATATAAGCTCTTTTGTAAATGAGCTTTGGATAAACATTTGAGCACGGAAGAAAACATGATGTGTCTGTAACATTAACAGTGGCTGGGTAAAAATGAACGAAGAAAGTAACCTTTAGCACTCGTGCCCATAAAGAATACTTAAGCGAATCCCACCGAATCTTTCTTTTAATCATTAATTTTAAATGGACATAGATGTTTACAACAAGCCACTTTGTTTCAGAACAGGAAGTCCAGGGTTTATCTCCAATAACTCACGTTGGCTAGGAAGGAATGGATGTCTCTAACCTGACATGCATTCATTATTTTGTAAGGTACTGGGGTCTGACCCATGACCCTCCTCAGACCTGCTGCATTATTCATGTCCAACTTACTTTGTATAGTTTTACTATAGCACCCATTTCCCCTTTTCCAGGCATTTCAGTGTCTTGTGCATGTTTAATGTTAAACGGCATTTATGCCTCACATTAATGCCTAATTTTATCACAAGCCAAGGCTTCTTTTTATGCTTTCGAGCCTCACGGCTGAACTGCTGAAAAAACCCAGTGATTTATGATTCTGCATAAAATATCAAACTATTGATCTGCTGCCTTTTGTTGTTGGTGTTTTTTTGGGCACGGTTTTCTGTGATTTTCTTACATGCTCTTCTCACCTTGTTTTGTTTTTTTGGATAAGATTTCTGCTGTGGTTAAAACGTCACACACTGTTGCTACAGCAAAATCTGCCTGCCAAGAGTTTTTCCAACAATTCGCGACTGATTCGGCTGCCGAGAGAAAGATGGGTCTTGTCTGGGGCTTTTTTTTGGGAGGGGAGGGGGTGTTGTTTATTTCATCTATTTTTTTTTTTTTTTTAGTCTGAATGGGGTGGTTTAGGTGGATTTTTGAGTGCTAATGAAATTGTGAGACTTATGGTGCTGGCTACAGCCAGCCGGAGTGTGGGCAGACGCTCTGTGAGCTTCCCCACTGTGCTGCTGTGCAAGCATCCCCGCTGTTATGTTTGCTATAGTTTTAATGTCTGTGAAAAATTCCTGATGCAACTAAATTATGTTCTGCCCTCTTGTTTGTATAAATAAACACCCGACTTAGCCAATTCATCTTGCTCTTGCCCATTTTAGAAGCTTGCTCTGTCACACAATGCTTAACCCCGGTCCTTGATAGCTTTGGTGTTATCAGGGAATGAAAACTTGCTCAAAAGGGAGTGCTCTGTTGGCTTGATTTTTTTTTTTTTTCCTCCCAGGCACATCAACTCCCCAAAACTCTGCTTTCATTTGGTAAGTGTTCATATTCTGGAAGTCATGCTGGCTAAAATACACAGTTTTTTATGTATAAATATATAGATCACTTATTCATATCACTTTTAATGTCAGGATATTTTAATGTTGCTGCATGCAGCATAAAAGTCCCAATTTTAATCACTCTCAGTACACTATGGCAATCCTCTGCTGCAGATATATTGTAAAATATTTCCTTGTTTAAAAAAAAAATCTATAAGAAGTGTTCAAACTAACTAATATTTGCTATAAGGAAAATAAGCAATTTGTGATCCGAATTGATTTACTTTTTATTCATGCCTCAGAATTAGATCTTGCAAAAGAAAATGAGAATTGGGTGAAAACTCTCTATCTGGGCAATTGATGAATTCATCCTATGTAATATAAAGTGGAATTTGCAATGAATATTCATACAACTTTTGTGATCCATTAGCAAGACCCAAAGACAATGAGTTCGCAACTCAGTCCCATTTAACAAAAATATATGTGGAATTAATGGAAAAAAACAGCACTTAGAAAAGTTAAACTTTAATGTATCAAACTCCAGGTGCCAGAGTTTGAGGGAAATAACCAATAATAGTCATTTTTTACATATTTGATGGGACTGATTATGCAATGTGCAACTCTAAATGGCTTATAGCACATTGTAGCATGGTTCCATCCCATTGGCTACAGTAGGGTGCAGGCAGATGGATGACAGTGACAAGGAGAGAAGTGCTTTTGCTTAGCCGTGCGTTAAGATGCCATCCAGAAGCTCTGTGCACTGCAGACACTTCATTAGGATGCCAGGATAATGGTAAACTACCACTCAGAGTGACACCCCATTTCCTGCTTACTGAGCTCTCCAACCTCGGCAGATGTCAACAATCTCACAGTGCTACAGAGCAGACCTAACTTTCCAGGCACTTTGACTCCAATTTTTTTCCCTTAACAGTGCCATACATTACATGCAATATGTAACAGCAAGTACCAAACAGAAAACAAAATTTGCTGCCCTAATTATAACAAAGCAGCATCTGACTTAGGTACTGCATGCCCAGCTTACATACAACTGGTTAGGCAGCAGCAAAGGGGAATGATCCTTGTCAGTCCATTTTGGGGGTTAATTAGACTTAGGACTTTGATAGCTAATGGGTAGTCTGATCCCGACTGAACCGATTTTGCTTCACTGCTAACTTCTACCACGCACAGGAAAAACATGATGAGCTCTTTTTCTGGTATTTCATCCACTGCAAGAGCCTTGTGCGGGGTTTTCTGTGCAGAAAGAGCAGACTTGAGCATCTGGATGGTGTGATATTTTTCTCTGCAAATGCACAACTCGAGGCCGTAACGCACCTCCCCAACAGCAGTTAAAGCCAGCAGAGAGGCTGAGCTACAAGGTCTGACCTACACTCCTTTCCACACACAGGTAGTTGCTCACACTTTCAAAAAATGTCTTCAAAGACACAGACAGTATCCATCAGGTCATTATTTCTAATTTAATTTATTTTCTTGAACCTATCGGTGTGTGATTATGTTTTAAAAATCAGGAATCCTGATTTATTCTGTGTATAGGTATTTTTCTCTCTCTTTGTTTTGGTCAAAGAGGTGACTTGGTGGTTGTGCTGTGTCCTACCACAGCAGTGGCCCACCACTACTTATTTTTGTTGTGTGAAGTGGTGGAAGCATGACGGGACATCACTGCCAGCTCCTAAAATCCCTGCTCCCCCCTCCTTCATCGCCTCTCCTTGCCCCCATTGAAGATGAGCTTTTATTGGCATCCCTCTGGTCCTCACCCATAATCTCCAGACTGCCATGTCATTGAGGACCTGGGAATGGACAGCGATTTGGGAGAGAGAAAACCTGGAGCAAGGTGGAAGGATGCATGAGGATGAGGTGGCAAAGCATTTCTCAGCTTTCACCTTACATGAAAATTAGGATGCTTGAATAGGAACCGTCCCAGAACAATCACAAAGTCGGGGCCGTATCACATTTATTCAGCTGTTGTCTGTTTTCCCCAGGCAAAATTCCCACCAAAGGTGTCAAACACACTCTGACTTTGCTCTCTGTGAACTGCAGAGCCCTTGGCATTGCTGTGGAGAGAAGGGATTGGGCCCCCTGTCAATACGCCAGGAAAGATCCCAGGAAGAGTGAAAACTGGAGATACGTTTTAGGTGGTTAAACTGCAAATTTACACACTTAAAAAGAGACTTTTAAAATATGCTGGAAATAATTTTTTGCATATGCATTCTGGTATTTTTTATCTGCTCTGCCTAACCTTTAGTATATTAACCTCCAGCAAAAGAAGGAAGCAAGGAAGTTCATTTCTCAGCTGACCCATATGAAGGGGTTAAAAGGATTCAATATTTTTAGTAATCAAAGAAAAGCATACATTTTACTTTTCCTTTTTTTTTTTTTCCTAACATTTAAAAAAAAAAAAGTAAACAGCATCTCCCCAAGGGAGATTTAGATTTGAAGACTGTTCATTATATCATTTGAATAAGACTAGACCTGGCCTTTTGACTTTGAACCACTACCAAATTTCAGGCTGTGAGGAAATTGTTCTACATTTCCTGACAAATTGAGTTAAGCAGACATTAAGTGGGCTTTAAGAAAACAAATGGCCATCTTTATCACAGGTGGACACTGATGGCTTAATGGGGCCTGGGCTGATTGTATCACTTCTAATGGCTTGACGGGAAGCATTAGGGTTTTTGCATAAAGAACTGGCATTGCGAACCCTGCTAACACAGACCTGTCAAGCGTTCTGTATCCCTTTGTGCATGGAAGCAGATGTTTGTATGTATACTATGAACTGGCATTAGAGCAAGCGACAGATGCCTGTATGAATGCCAGGTTTGTGAATTTTTACAGCAGGAGCATGTTCTGAGGAAGTGCAGCCCTGCCCTCTATCATAGGTAATTCCCAGTGGAACTTGCTAAATCCCAGCTATGTTTTCATTATTTGGTTTTCCTAGCAACTGGATGAATGTGTCTGTCCTGAAAATGCGAGCGATGAGAGCGCTACCAAATTCTTACAAATTCGCAGGAGCGAGGGCTGGTTTGAAGTTATTATTTTCTGCAATTTCCTTTTGCACCATGTAATCTAACCCAACCTTTCTCAGAGGGGAAAGTGGTATTATAGCTATATAATTAAAACTTGCATTAATGCTAGCCGGTGAACCGTTCTCCCCCCCCTCCTCCTCCTCCTGCCCCCCACCCCCACAAAAAAAAAAAACAAAAAAACAAAAAAAGGGAGAAATGCAGAATTCGATACACGGCGTTTTCGCCGCCTTCCACATTCACAACTTGCACTATAGTTGTCTGTCAACAATACGAACAGGTAGCTCGCAGTCCATTAAACAAACACAGTGCCCCCCTCACTTTTATTTGACATTTTATTTGGCTGTGACAAATGAGCAGCAGTTGGATTATAACATAATTTGTCTTGTCTTTATTACCAGCACAAAGGACACCATTCATTAATTATTCTGCCGTTGCAGCTTAACACTAACTGGAAAGGTCCCTCTTCGGACAGATGGCGGGGACGATGTTATTTATATCAATCAGCCAAAATCCTCAACAAGGATTACTGTTCCTGAGACTACAATGATTTATTTCTTTTTACCTCACCCTCCCTCAACCCCCTTCTGCTTTCAGAGATTTCTCTATAAAAATGAAATTTGATGGGAATCTTAAAGCAAAGCCATATTTAACCTGTTAGCTTGCAAAACAACATGCATGCTACATCAGTTTAACTACATGATATTAGTTGCATATTTTGAATTGTTTCAGCTTTTTTTTCTTTTTTTTTTTTCTTTTTTTCCCCCCCTTTTTTTTTTTTGATCTTCGACTCCGCAGAAAAGATTAACCGAGGGTCTCGGAGCAGCAAGTTCAGCAAAAGTTTGCCTTTTCTGTAACACCATACTGCTGTTGTCCCCAGGGACCACCGGGATCAGGAAATAGTGCCAGCTGTCAGGATTTCTGTCTCTGATAAGATGAGATGACCCACCTTATTACACAGGGACCAGCAGTAGACCCTTCTGCGAGATGAACTCGGATGTTTATTAAAACTCCAGGCTAAACTGAGGGTCAAATCATACAGGAGACAGATGCTCATCAATTCCTGCTGGATGCAAGTCTTTATTCGGTATCAAGGGGTGGAGGGATTTTACCTAACTTGTTCTGTCGTGTTAACGATCCTGCCCAACGCGTGATCAAACAGTAATCATCGCCACCGTTCTAATCCAGATGTAAAAATCATCTGAGCATCGCTTACAGGGGCTCAGCAACGCTGCCCTGCCTTGCACACAGCCATCCACATGGATATTTATATCACACCAGGACTGAGGCATTTAAAGTTTTATCCAAGTTGCACATGCTGCTAATAAAGACTAAAATACAGAAACTTTCATTGTCTGAAGAAATTATTGGTATAACCTTGGTGTCCTGATTAGTTTGCAAATATTAAAAGTCCCATCAAGACAAATATCAGCAACATGCAAATACCCTTGCAGGTTGTGATTAAGATTTTAAATGTATCCTTTTGCTTTTAGTTAATGAAAAACAAAGTCTTGGAGGATCTAAGTTGTAATTTATTAAACATGAAAGGCTCCTTGATGAAATATAGAAATGAGATATATTTTGCATTTCAAAGATTTAAGCTGACAACTTACTTGCATGCAAATAAGAGCAAGATTTGTAAAAATATTTGAAAAGAAATTATTCCTGAATGTACTTATTACAATAATGTGGCATGTAGATAAGAGAAACACACAGCATTAAAAGACATTCATTTCTCCAAAGTCTTAAAATTAGCTTCTTTCTGCCATTGTGTATTAATGTTCTTCTTCAGGAATGCAGCATATTAAAGAACTGAACAGAATTAGTAATAAATTTGTTAATTACAAATTTAAGCAACACAACTGTGTTGTTTTCCCAATATGTTTTTTTTCAAAAGCAGAATTGCTAATGCATTTTAATCATTTATGTATAAACATTTGAAGATAAAATATTCTGAAGTTTATCAATTTCAAGAGCTGTTTATTTGCTGGCAAAATAGGGCATGTTATACAACATATATCTTATCATTTTTGCTCATCAAATCCCCATTTGCTGAATGCAAATTTCTCTGGTCTAAGTGCTCTTGCACCTCAATTTAAATGAATAATAGGATAGACTCTATTAAAATCGGTTTAAGGTTGCCATGGGTGACATATCAGTAGGGTTAAAATGAGAAAAAAGGTCACAGAGGCAGTCCTTACAACCTGTTTTTTTTATTATTATTATAATGAAGCATATGTAAGTATCTATGTAGGTTTAAATGACAACATATTGATATTGTAGACAATACTTAGTTTGGGGGTCTTTTTCTATTTTTTTTTTTTTTTAGGCAGCTTAGTCCACACCAAATAAATGTGAAATTATAGTGTCATCAATAACTCTGGGAATGGATTCAGTTGCACTGAAAATTAGAGAGTGCAATAACACTGTAGACTGACAGATTGTGGATTTGTAGAAATAACAGAGAACTCAGAAAAAACCTGTACTTTTGCTGCGGCAAATCCTTCATTTCAAGGAACTAGCAAGGTACTGTAATCATATTAACAAAGCAGCCAGAAACTATACCCAAACACCTCATTTAAGAAGAATTTGGAGTCTTCAGCTAACCTGATTTATGGGATTATGCATGCAGTTATTTGATAAGTATTGAAAATACTACCACTTCACACTGAAGCCTTCCTTGATCTATCTTTTTGTGTCTGTGTCATAGTCTTATCCTGTTTAAAGCTTAAAAAATACCGCTGCTGACTGTTCTAAAGACTTAGAGAATAAAGTAAAATCACAACTTTCCTGAATTTTTTTTTGATCCTTTAAAAGTCAAATTTATTTATTTTAGTGGTCCCCTTATTACTCACTTTTTTTTTTTTTAATATTATGCATGATTTTCACTTGGCTTTCACAGACTCAGATTTTTGATATGAGGAAGCATTATATTTCCTCTTTTTTTTTTTTTTCCTTTTTTTTAACCTACAACAAGAAGAAAAATCTCCTTATTTGCTAAGGTTACAGCGTTAGTTTAATTTTCATAGGAGCAGTGGAATATTTTGAAGTGAGTAACATTTACCAAGTCATTAGTTTTATGCAAACTAGGGAGGAAGATGAAAGAAAAAAAATTATCAATTATTTATAGATTGTTAAAATGTATCGTCGTGCAGTGCTACTGTATAGAAATGACAATTAGCCAAACTTACCTTCTATAATTAATAATGCATATATTATGCTCTTTGGGCAACTAATCACCAGTCCTACAAATTTGTTTGACACTGATGAAGATACCTAGCACACGCACGGGTTAAAACAGGGAAGGCAGAACAATGTTCTCCCATTAAGGAATGGCCAGCTGGAACAGGCTTTCAGCTATTTCAGCGCTCCTTAAACTCACGCCGTGCTTCCAGTTGACAAAATGGTGGTGGTCCTACCCAAGCGCTTTGACAACCTGATTGGCACATGTGAAATTAAAATCCAAAGGCTCCTAACGGGAAAGGTCTCCCAAACTGGCGGTTTGACTGATACACTGAAAGCAACCCACCGCATTTATCACCCTCTGCCTCGGCTCGAAAACTTCGGAAGACGGCAACAGCAGTGCTCCTTATGTCCAAGCTACTGGCCAGGCAGGCGCGGATCAGCAGGCCACGCTGCGCAACCTGTTTCCCCGGCGGTACAGATTTGGAACCGGCAGATATAGCTCGCGAGGGGCAGCCGCTCCATTCGCACCTATCAAAACAACAGGCAGGGCTGCCACACGTGCTGGGAGAGGAGCGGGGCGGGCGGGAGGCAGCCCCGCCGTGGGTGTGAAGGGATGGAGGGAGCGCCGCGCCGCACCCCGGCGCCGTGGGGCCAAGGTGGGCCAGCGCTCGCGGCCAGGTGGCTTCGTCGCACCCACCAACCTGTTTTTCTCCTCTGCATCCTCCTCCTTAAGCATCGTTTTTCACTTGAAACTGTTTTTTTATTTTATTCCTTTGAAAAGTGGGGGGTTTTGGGTTTTTTTGGGGTTTTTTTTTTTTTTTTTTTTTTTTTTTTTTTTTTTTAGTCTGAATGGGGTGGTTT